GAAATTCAAGCCTCGGAGTTTTCTTTTGTTGGGGGTGGTTACTTGGAACTCTGACACTGACTGTGGTGCAATGAAGAAAATATCTTTGCGAAAAAAAATTGGAAGACAAGAGAACTATGTCTAAAGGCCTCTGGAATTCTGTGAATCCTTTGATCTATGAAAATTATATTGCTGGTTGCTTTAAGGGCAGAAAATGGAATACCACAATATCATCAGCCTACAGAAATAGTTTATAGCCACCCTGCAAATATCATGCACTCAGTATCTAAAGATTGCCTGGTAGCCAAAGCTTCAATAATTAAATTAAATAGTAAGGGAGAAAAAAAAGGAATCCTACCACATACCACATTTATATTTATTTATATTTATTTATTTACCATATTTTTCAGTGTATAAGACGCACATCCCCCACCCCAAAAAAGTGGGTGGAAATGTCTGTGCATCTTATACAGTGAATGTTGCAGAAGCCCCACCCACCCACCAGCCCCCACCCTATCAGCCCCCACCCTATCAGCCCCCACCTTACCACCTAACAGCTGTTCCAGGCTGCAGGGATCACCACTGCCCATCACCGCCATCGCTGCCCCTCACTGTTGCTGCCTATCGCCACCTCTGCGCACCCCATTTTTGGCCTCCGTACATTCCATTTTTGGCCCATTCCAGGCGGCAGGGAAAACGGGACGCACTGAGGCTGAAAATGGGGTGCGTGGAGGCGGCAATAGGTGGCAGCTGTGATGGGTGGCAATGGTTGTGACGGGTGGTAGTGATCCCTGCAGGCTGGAACAGCTGATAGGCAGTATTCCGGGAGGCAGATCCAACTGCCAATCAGCTGCTTGTGCTAAATCAGGCTGTGCTGAAGCTGATCAGGCTGTTTGCTGTTTGCTGAAAGGAGTTAAATTGCTGAGAGGCAGAGGCAAAGGCAGATTTTTTTTCCCCTTGTTTTCCTCCCCAAAAGCTAGATGCGTCTTATACTTCAGAGCATCTTATAGTTCAAAAAATAAGGTATTTAAAACATTTATGGAGCTGTCCATCTGTCTTGCACCCTCTCCAGATTACAAGGCCAGACTTGGAATCTCTCTGAGTAACATGTTTATTTTGGATCTGAATGAAGGTGGATCTTCCCATGAAGCTGGAAAAAGATCACGTCCAATAGTTCAATCCGTGTTCACACTTTATTAGTTACATAAATAAGGAAATGCAAGTTTATTACAGAGGAAATACATATTATCTGTAAAGCAAAGAAGTTACGAAAATATCCTTATTCAACTTCCTCTTGTTAATGGACCTAAACTATGTCAGCAACGTTTATTTAAAGAAGTGAATGTGTTTTCCAGGTGCTTTCCAAAGAAAGCCAGAGCAGCTATTCTCCATAATAGCTATTCACTGGAAGGCAGGACAAGAAGCAATAGATGGAAGCTAATCAAGGAGGGAAACAACCTAGAATTAAGGAGAAATTTCTTGACAGTGAGAACAATCGACCAGTGGAACGACTTGCCTCCAGAAATTGGGTGCGCCAACACTGAAAAGAGATTGGAGACCATTTGTCTGAAAAGGTATAGGGTTCCATGCTTGACCAGGGGGTTGGATTAGAAGATCTCCAAGGGTCTTCCAAGTCTGTTATTCTGTCATTCTGCTATTCTGTTATAATTTCCTCTGAAGGCTATCTGACAATTCCTCAGACTTCTGTTCCCAAATCCACACAATGTAACACAGAAACTATTATAGAAGTTACTTAAGTCACCATGACCTACACACCTTATAAAAAAAAATGTGGGTGGGATCTGAAATGGAAAAGAGTCTGAGAAAATTCAATTTTTTATAGTTCGATCTTTATACAGTGCTACGCAGCTTTAACATATGCAGATCTATGCCACAGTTGTGGCATAGATCTGCAAATAATAAAACTCAACCCAAATTACCTTGGAAAAAACACAGATTATATTTGCAGACAGTACTCTATACTCATTGTACAGCAAAGAACAAGATAGCTTAGCTTGTCCAAAGCAGGGGTGAAATCCAGCAGGTTCTGGAGAACTAGCAGCAGAAATTTTGAATAGTTCGGAGAATCGGTAGCGGAAATTTTGAGTAGTTCAGAGAACCGGCAAATACCACCTCTGGCTGGTCCCAGAATGGGGTGGGAATCCAGATTTTGCAATATTCTTCCCCTGGAGTGGGGTGGGAATGGAGATTTTGCAGTATTCTTCCCCTGCCATGCCCACCAAGCCACGCCCACCAACCACACCATGCCCACCAAGCCACATCCACCAAACCATGCCCACAGAACCAGTAGTAAAAAAATTTGGATTTCACCACTGGTCCAAAGTTACCAGATACACAAATAGTCAAGTGGAAAATATCATTGTTCATGTCCTCCATCGGCTTCACATTCAAGAGTGATTGTCAATTACTCTTCATTAGTGTACATAGTATTACAAGAATGATTATCAATTAGTCTACATTACTTTAAGTCATCTTAAAGAATGTTCCAAGTCTGAACCAAAATGACCAAAGACAATGTAGCTATTCAGGTCATATTCCTCTTGGCATTTCTCCATACCATTCATTCAGAAGAAAACAAAATAATATTTAGGAAATATCTTTGAACTGTATATACCAGGGGTCAGCAACCTGCAGCTCTGGAGCCACATGTGGCTCTTTCATCCCTCTGCTGCAGCTCCCTGTTGCTGGTTGGCTGCATAATTGACAGGGCTTTCGGTTAGGACAGGTAGAGGAAAAAGGATGCTGTGCTAGGAGGAGACTCTATGGTGGGGGAACCGGACTTCCAGTCAGCAGAGGAAAAAGGATGCCATTCTAGGAGAAGATATGATGGGGAAACCGGACTTCTAGTCGGCTCCAGAATTGAATAAGGGCTTCCAGTTAGGACCTTTATGGCTCCTTGAGTGTTTAAGGTTGCCAACCCCTGGTATATACTCCTGAGAATCATATATAAGGATAAATTCATTTTAAAAAAATTGGAAACATGAACAAGGAATATACTTGTGGAAAGATGTGCAGTATTCTTATAAATTGAGTTCAACATTGAAAGAAACAATTCTTGAGTCCAACAAAGCACATTTGATATGAACGCAAAAATGAGAAGATGGGAGAATCCAACCAGGATAAAAGAAAACATAATTTCACTAGAAGATAAGCCCAGTAGCTGATGCTGAATAAAATTATGAATGTTAGAGACCTCTGATGATGGAATGGCACTAAATGTGAAACTAAATTAAAAATGGGAAGAGAATTCTACCAGATAGAAATATTTATAAATGTAAAAATGTTGCAAATGAAATAGGCAACCACGGATGTCCAACTTTATAGCTACACTCAGAAATTTGTTGAATTTTGATATTGTCAACTTCTATCATACGTTTTTTTTAAAGAAACAACACCTTCTTCTCTATCATCTTTGAAATCAACGAGTGGAAGCTCCATGTTTCCTACCATGAAAGATGAAAAGTCTTAGAAAGTCATATTTCATAATATGGAATATTTCATAAGGATAATAGTTCCTTAAGATGAGATCTTAAGGTACTCCAAGACATTGACAGCATCAAACGTATTTCTTTCATTTCTCCAAACATCATACTGTCGTTTCTTCCCTGATTAGAAAGTTTATTAGTTCATTGAAAGAACACTAGTTCTTTCAATTTGTTGTTAGTTGTGAAGTCGTGTCCGACCCATCGTGACCCCATGGACAATGTTCCTCCAGGCCTTTCTAGTTTTTTCAATAAAGTACATAAAAATCCCAAATTGTAAAAATGGATCCCCATGTCAAAATTCCAATAAACCCACAGAATAGGTTTAGATAAATATATAATCTATACAGATACATAACAAAATTGATATCATCTCATCATGGATGAAGAACATTCAATACTGGTCATCCCATGATAAACCATTCCTGGGTTTCAGTTACTAGCATTACACTTACAAATCCTGGGCTACAGGTGTTAAGCATCTCATTCCAGTGGTGGGTTGCCCCCGGTTCGGACCGGTTTGCAAGAACCTGTAGTAAAACCGGTGGGAGGCCCCGCCCACCACCCTGGATGTCATCATCAGCGATCTGCGCATGCGAAGAAGCAAGGCATGCAAGCGAGCAAAGTGTTCACACACGTGATACTATTTTGAACCGGTGGTAAAGGTAAGTAGAACCCACCCCTGCTTCATTCCTACATCGTTATGAATTAGGCAAGGTAAAATAATGCTACACTATCATTGATAGTCCTCCCATTTCTTATCTTGAAGAGTAGGATTGTTCCAACAATACCTTCAAGATTAGATTTTTGGGGAAAGCTGGACTCTTGTTTTTCTTAATGCTTTCCAAACTGCTTCTTTCCCTTCATTTTGATGTAAATGAAATGATTTAGCATTGGAGCCTCTGATAGCATCATAGTTTCAATACTAGGCTAGGATGATGAATAATAATACTAGGATGATGAGTTCCTGCTAACCACATCTTTATGAGTTAGGTAAGATAAAGTAATTGCTACAATATCTTTGATAGATGCCCTTCCCACTCCTCATCTTGTAGAACAAGATTGCCCCCTTGAACAAGTCTACATTGACATTTTAATGAAAGTTGGGCTCTTTTCTTCTTATTGCTTTCCACACTGCTTCCTTCACTTCATTGTTCATGATGGTGTAAATGAAAGGGTTTAGCATTGGGACCACTACAGTATTCATCAAAGAAACAGTCTTCATCTTACTGTAGGAAGAGTTATTGACAATAGGTCTTAGATAGACAAAAAAGACTGATCCGTACAAGATGCAGAGGGGAGCAACAGAAACAGACCATAAAGTGTGTGTGGGGGGGTCTCTAACAATGCTTTGAGCTCTAAGCACATAGTGCTTATAACCAGTATCCTGAATAACATGAAGCAAACTTCCTATAATCTTATCCGCTGTCCTCACCACTCTCTGTACAGACTTTCTATCTGAAACCCATTTTTTGGAAATATACCCCCAAAAACGTTCATTTTACTTCTGTCTACTATTTAGACTTTAGGAAAAGCCAGAGACTTTTTTCTTAATGCTTTCCACACTGCTTCCTTCACTTCATTGTTCCTAATGGTGTAAATGAAAGGGTTTAGCATTGGGACCACTATAGTATTCATCAAAGAAACAGTCTTCATCTTACTATAGGAAGAGTTCTTGACAGTAGGTCTTAAATAGACAAAAAAGACCGATCCGTACAACATGCAGACTACAATCAGATGGGAAGCACAGGTAGAAAAAGCCCTCTGCTGCCTGATGGTTGAAGGCATTCGGAGAATGGTGAAAATGATGAAGAGATAGGAAATGAGGGTGGAAATCATAGAGGACATAACCACAACCACCATTACTAGAAATCCAAATAATTCAATGATTTGTATATCTCCACCTGCAATCTTCAACACAGGTCCCACATCGCAGTAGAAATGGTTGATAACGTTGGATGTGCAGTAGGGTAGGTTTGGAATCATGATGGTCTGATAAAGAATGGAGAAAAATCCAGCAAACCAGGATGCAATTGCTAGCTTAAGACAGACCCCTGATGTCATGATCGTGGCGTATCTCAAAGGATGGCAAATGGCTAAGTATCTGTCGACGGAGATCAAAGTGATGATAAAATATTCTGTGACCCCAAAAAAGAAGTAAAAGAACATCTGCGTTATGCAGCAGTTGAAACAGATGGAATTCTTTGCGCAGAGATAATTGAACAGCAATTTAGGAATGAAGGTTGTGGTGTGTCCAATGTCAATGCAAGAAAGGTTGCTAAGGAAGATATACATGGGCTTCTGGAGATGGCAGTCCAGAATTACCATCACAATGATGAGCCCATTGCCCATCAGACACAGGAGGTAGAGAAAAAAGATGCCAGCGTACATCAAACCTTCGAGTCCCAAAACCTTTGGCAACCCAACAAAAACAAATTCAGTTGCTTTTGTGCAGTTGGTCAAATTCATGTTCCACTTCTGTTGCAAAAAGAGAAAAAGATGGCACCTTCACTGAATCAAGGTTTAGCTACATTAAAAATAAATAAACATTTTTCAGACACTACTATTGTGATTGCAATACAGAGAAGGCAAGATCGGTTTTCACATCAAGTTAGTGATACCATAAAACTATGATAATTTAAAAAGGATGTGGTGGTTCAGGGGCTAAGATGCTGAGTTTGTTGATTGAAAGGTCAGCAGTTCAGTGGTTCGAATCCCTAGTGCTGCGTAATGGGGTGAGCTCCCATTACTTGTCCCAGCTTCTGCCAACCTAGCAGTTTGAAAGCACATAAAAAAATGCAAGTAGAAAAATAGGGACCATCTTTGGTGGGAAGTTAACAGCATTCCATGCGCCTTTGATGTTTAGTCATGCTGGCCACATGACCACGGAGACATCTTCAGACAGTGCTGGCTCTTCGGCTTTGAAACGGAGATGAGCACCGCCCCCTAGAGTCAGGAACAACTAGCACATATGTGTGAGGGGAACCTTTACCTTTATGGTAATTTAATGCCGCATTTCAATATAAATATTAGAAATATCAGTTACGATTTCTAATCGTACGATTTCTAAATATCGGTTACGATTACCCATCTTGGAACCACACAAGACATGAGGCCAAAACAAACAAATAAACAAAAAACCCCTTCCCACTTTGTAATATGAAATTTGCAACCTTTGGACCAGGGGTGAAATGCTCCCGGTTCGGACCGGATCACCCGATCCGGCAGCGATGGCAACGGGTGGTTCGGAGAACCGGTAGCAAAAATCTCTGTGCCCCCCCCCCTCACTATGCCCAGCTAAGCCGCACGATCATCAGAGGCTTTATTTTTTTTACTTTTAAAAGCATTTTTTCTACAACCTCTTCTGATGAAAAAATGCTTTTAAAAGTAAAAAAAAAAAGCCTCTGATGATCGCACGGCTCAGCTGGGATCATCAGAGGCTTTTCAAAGTATTTTTTTCTGCAACCTCTTGGCTGAAGAGGTGGTAAAAAAAATGCTTTGAAAAGTCTCTGACAATCCCAGCTGAGTTGCCTGATCCTCAGAGAGGCTTTTCAAAGCATTAGAAAAAATACTTTGAAAAGTAAAAAAAAAAAAAAAAGTTGGCCCCACCCACCCAGTCACATTACACCCCCCCACCACCACCAAGCCACGCCTACAGAACCGGTCGTAACAAATTTTACATTTCACCCCTGCTTTGGACAATCAGGGTGTCGTTGGGGATTCTTAAATGTTAATGGCATTTTGGAAGACAGCAGTAAAACACTATCAAACAAAATGTGGGGTATGAGAGAAAAATGACAAAAAGGAAAATGTTTATAGATGATATGGAACAGGTAGCTCAGAGCAAATGGAGAGGTAATGACCAAAACCACGTTATAGGGAGAGAGTGAAGAAACGATGAGAAAATATGTTATGCAGCAAATAGAATATTATCTATTAAAAAAAAGAATATAAACCCACCTGATGGAGAGAATGAGATTCATTGATGGTTCTACAAAAAGTCCACCAATAGATTGGCTTGAAAGACAAATTAAGTCAATTCCTTTCTCTTCCTTGTCCAAAAAATGATCTGGATTTTCTCTATCCCCTGGTATTAAAAAGTTTTTTCTGTGGAAATAATAAGCCAAGACCTCAAAAGAATGAGCTTAATTACTGTTTCTGCCCAGGTTATTCTCCACAATATGCTTTTTTTCCCCTGATGGATATCCCTGTATCCCTTTCTACCATAAAAACCATGATCTATAATAGCATAATGTTGCTAAGTGAGATATATAGTAGTTGTCAAAATTGTGGTAACCTTTTGGGAAAAGTGTATTTTTGAGGTTTAATGGCTAATAAAACCACTTTTTTTTTTTTTTGGAGTTTCAAGATAATCATATTCCACTGCTGGAATGGCCTAGGAATAACCCAGACTTTAACCCAATTGAAAATCTATGGAGCTGACTAAAGAAACTTGTTAGTCGGAAGCGACCCAGCAATAAAACCCAGTTAATAGAAGCAATCATTCCATCTTGGTTTCACATGATAACAGCTGCAGAACTAAAAGACTTGGGAAGTCTTTCACTCCATGGGAAGACGTTGTAAGGCCGTAATTCATGCTAAAGGTTACCCAACTAAGTATTAACTGACATGGTGATCATTTTTGTATATCTCATTTTTTTCTACATGTCTCCCTTTTCTTCTTTATACTGTAACTGCTATTCTAATAGCAAATTCTTCATAAAAGTTATTGCATTACATTCTTGATTAAATTATCTTTCCATTGATATAGAATTTTATGGTACTACTCCCCCAAAACTAGTTAGTTATTAGCTAGTTTTAGAAAATATACTTTTCCCAAAAGGTTTCCACAATTTTGGCCACTACTGTAAGTAAAGAAAGGTCTATAGAAATATAAACATATATTTATAAAATATACTGCTCAAAAAAATAAAGGGAACACAAGCAGAAGACATCTGAGATCTGAATGAATGAAATAGCCTTATTAAATACTTTGTTCTTTACATACAGTAGTTTATACACTGCTCAAACAACTAAAGGGAACACAAAACTACTGTATGTAACAAACAAAGTATTTAATAAGGCTATTTCATTCATTCAGATCTCAGATGTCTTCTGCTTGTGTTCCCTTTATTTTTTTGAGCAGTGTATAATCAAGATGTTTTTTCTCTGTGTGTGTGGTTATGGATATGTCTATATGCTAGGAAGTCATAGCTACTTCTGCAATGAAAGTCTGTTCCAGGTATTTGTTCTATAAAACATAGACTTAAAAATCTCTCCACCTTTACCTTGACTTGTTCTTTCCTTCCTTCCTTCCTTCCCTTGTCTTCTCCAAGTGCCTTTCACTTCATCTCTCTATTCATTCATCAAGACTAGGTCTTGAAGAACCACAGAAAAAGATACATCATGTGTTGAAGGGGAAATGGCAGACTTCTTGAGAAATATTTTCTTTGACATTTAAAAAACATACAGCAGATTGCATCATAGAAAGTTTAGTCAGTGATTCTCTACAGAAGCTTTGGGAAACAATCTCCAAGGATATTTGTCTTTAATTTCTCTCTTGAGGATCCAGGCACCATATCTGGAATATACATACTCAAGGCTGATATCTTTTGGAGGTCCTCTGGAAGCAAACAACTGCAACTCATTCATACTTAGTCTAATTCACACTCCTGCACAACTACAAAAAGGAAAATGTAATATCTTTTCTAATGCAACACTTACAGTAGTGGCCAAAATTGTGGGAACCTTTTGGGAAAAGTGTATTTTTGAGGTTTGATAGCTAATAACACCATTTGGGGGGGGATAGTACCATAAAATTATATATCAATGGAAAGATAATATAATGCAACAAAGTTTGTTCAATTATCTGTATTCTATGAAAAGGTATAGCCAAATAACCAGAAAAAGGAAGCACAACTTGCTTAAATTGATATCAGGTAGCTTTCCTTCATCTGATTGTAGCCAATGAACACGAGTGTTTAGAGAGAGCCAATCAGGTGTCATCTTGTTTTGGCAATGAGCCAATCAGATCACAGTAGGATTCAGTTGTTGATGCCATGTATTGAAGCTGAGAGGACATTTGTCAGTGTGTTATGTGATCGCTATCGTGGTTGGGTTTTTTTGTGTTCTTTCATTTAGTGGGCTTGTAAAACGTAATAAAATTAAAGTAATGGTGCAAAGAGTTGACTGGTCACCCAGAAAGTGATGTAAAATAGTATTATTAAGTGAATAAGGCTACAGTTATAAAGAAATTAGAAGAAAAATTGGTGGAAACTTAACCAAACGTAGCATTTCTAAGTTTCTGAAGAGGTATAAGGAAACTACAAAACCACACGGTAAAGGTTACCACGGTAACCACATGGTAAAGGCAAGAAAAGATATACAACAGCAAGTGATGATAGAAGAATTAAGAGATTGTGCCTATGTGACAAAAGAAAATCATCTGGGGGCATACAAGATGAAATGGCGCAATGCAATGTGAAGTTGAGTGGAAGGACTGTTTGGCGCAGATTGCAGGAATTTGGCCTAAAATCTAGAATTCCCAAAAAAACCCACTTTTATTTCTCAAACAAAAGTTGAAAAGACTAAACTTGGCTAAAACCCATGTTACCTGGACAGAGGAACAATGGGACAGTGTTATTTGGAGTGATGAGACCAAGATCTCCCAGTTTGGTAGTGATGGCATAAAAATACACTCTTCCAAAAAGGTTTCCACAATTTTGGCCACTACTGTATTGGATATATGCAGCTGCGCGGGTTGTGATGGGAGCGTCCCGACACTCCCATGTTACACCCCTCCTGCGCAGCTTGCATTGGTTACCAGTTGCCCTTCGGGTGAGGTTCAAGGTGCTGGTTATCACCTATAAAGCCCTTCATGGCCTAGGCCCGGGATATCTGTCAGACCCCCTGCAGCCAACGACAATCCCCAATCGCCCGGTGCGTTCCCACAGACAGGGCCTCCTCAGGGTGCCGTCAGCCAGTGTCGGCTGGCGACCCCCAGGGGAAGAGCTTTCTCTGTGGGCACACCCACCCTCTGGAACCAACTTCCATTGGAACTCCGGATGACCCCTGACCTTCGCTCGTTCCGCCACGAGTTGAAGACCTGGTTGTTCCGTAGCCTGGACTGACCGGGGGGGGGGTGTTAATGAATTTTAAACTGTTTTAAATTGGGTTTTAATTTTATATCATTTTAATCAAATTATGCATTTAACTGTTGTGAGCCGCCCTGAGTCCTCGGAGATAGGGCAGCATATAAATTGCATAAAATAAATAAATAAATAAATAAATAAATAAATAAATAAATAAATAAATAAATAAATCTGGTGAATTTATTTGTTCACCAGATCTGGTGAAAACCGACTCTGAAGACTTCTGTGGTTTTCACCTAATTAAAAGTAAACAAATTTGTCACTTTCTCAAAACAGTCACATGGTCCAATCACGGTGCGGTCTGGTTGCCGGGTGACA